AAAAGAAAAGAAAAGAAAAGAAAAGAAAAGAAAAGAAAAGAAAAGAAAAGAAAAGAAAAGAAAAGAAAAGAAAAGAAAAGAAAAGAAAAGAAAAGAAAAGAAAAGAAAAGAAAAGAAAAGAAAAGAAAAGAAAAGAAAAGAAAAGAAAAGAAAAGAAAAGAAAAGAAAAGAAAAGAAAAGAAAAGAAAAGAAAAGAAAAGAAAAGAAAAGAAAAGAAAAGAAAAGAAAAGAAAAGAAAAGAAAAGAAAAGAAAAGAAAAGAAAAGAAAAGAAAAGAAAAGAAAAGAAAAGAAAAGAAAAGAAAAGAAAAGAAAAGAAAAGAAAAGAAAAGAAAAGAAAAGAAAAGAAAAGAAAAGAAAAGAAAAGAAAAGAAAAGAAAAGAAAAGAAAAGAAAAGAAAAGAAAAGAAAAGAAAAGAAAAGAAAAGAAAAGAAAAGAAAAGAAAAGAAAAGAAAAGAAAAGAAAAGAAAAGAAAAGAAAAGAAAAGAAAAGAAAAGAAAAGAAAAGAAAAGAAAAGAAAAGAAAAGAAAAGAAAAGAAAAGAAAAGAAAAGAAAAGAAAAGAAAAGAAAAGAAAAGAAAAGAAAAGAAAAGAAAAGAAAAGAAAAGAAAAGAAAAGAAAAGAAAAGAAAAGAAAAGAAAAGAAAAGAAAAGAAAAGAAAAGAAAAGAAAAGAAAAGAAAAGAAAAGAAAAGAAAAGAAAAGAAAAGAAAAGAAAAGAAAAGAAAAGAAAAGAAAAGAAAAGAAAAGAAAAGAAAAGAAAAGAAAAGAAAAGAAAAGAAAAGAAAAGAAAAGAAAAGAAAAGAAAAGAAAAGAAAAGAAAAGAAAAGAAAAGAAAAGAAAAGAAAAGAAAAGAAAAGAAAAGAAAAGAAAAGAAAAGAAAAGAAAAGAAAAGAAAAGAAAAGAAAAGAAAAGAAAAGAAAAGAAAAGAAAAGAAAAGAAAAGAAAAGAAAAGAAAAGAAAAGAAAAGAAAAGAAAAGAAAAGAAAAGAAAAGAAAAGAAAAGAAAAGAAAAGAAAAGAAAAGAAAAGAAAAGAAAAGAAAAGAAAAGAAAAGAAAAGAAAAGAAAAGAAAAGATCCCTAAAAGGAATAATGGAAAATTAAATGTTTGAAATGCCACATAAGATTCAAAAATCTGTGAACAGACAAATCAACTAAAAGATTTGTGAAATATTTCTTGTAAAAACAGTTTGTAAATTATTTTTATAAAGGAAAGCTAACAGAACCGGGAATGTTTAACATAATGTTCAGGAAGACCTTCTTCAACAATTAATAACTTATTCAACTTTCTAATGTGTCTTCAAACTAAGGAATTTTGTTAATTTGAACTGGAAACAATGCTTTAAAACAGTGAACTCTAATGTGTCCACAATTAATTAGCTCCTCCATATTATATGATTGTCAAAATAAATTGTTTAGTGCTAACAATACCTTTCTTGAACAACTTACACAATCACCACACCCTTTTCACACAATTTGTTCTAGAACAATCGCTGTATCACTGAAATAAAAATCCTAAGCAATTTGATCAGGTGACTTTTCTGTAATATTAACAGGGTTGTCACAGCAGACAGTGCATATAACTAACTACTTCATAAATACGTTTAAGAAAAAAATAGCAATTATAACAGTTAATAGCTATGAAAAAAAAAAAAAGATCTATTTAATGGAAAAAAAAACAAAAAAAAAAACAAAAAAACCCCAAAAAAACAAAAACAAAACAAAACCAAAACAAACCAAAAGATGATGTAGATAATTAAGGGTTTTTTTTCTCCCTCATATGTTCTAAACTGGTATAAACAGGTTCATTGAAATGGATATTATGTATGGGTTAGGGGAAAGACAGAGCAGCTGTTTAATGCTCTACAACTGTGCTGTGCTACATGGTTTTGGACAGGATATGAAAAACATCTTTCTTCTGTGGAAATAAGTGGGGAATTTAAGAGGGCAAGAGTATTTTTACCCACAGTGATTTTGGGCCAGGTCATCAGCTGTAAGACCCTTGCTCTCATGAATGTGATGTGAGATCTCTAAAATTACCATAGGCAGCAAGGCTGTGTATTTCCTTATAAGAACACTATGTAAGCCACAGAGTTTCTGAAAATACTAGTTGCACCCAAGAATCTGTAGGGTTTGGAAAAAAACGGGTCCCAGAAGGACCCAATTCCACTCCCTCCCAGTTCTCTGATTTCCTTTGGGAAGGTGCTGTTCCATCCCAATACCAACCTGGCCTGCTGATGTTCAGGTCCCGAAAATACGTGAGTTGTGAAAGAAGGGTTCACAGCACAAAGCAGTCCCATCGCGTGGTCCAGGAGCACCAAACAACAAAACCTATCACTTCGGTCAGAGTAAATTGCTTGTAGATGCATCTATGAATATTAAACTCACTTCAAACAGCAGGGAGCAGGCAACCTACTGTTTGAAATAAGAATGTGTGCTTACAAGTCATCCACTATTGAGGGACTTTCCCCATCAGACAGCAAGCCAGCAGGCAATCTAATTTTTTCCTTTAATGGTTCCTACAGTGCTAAACTGGCTTTCTTGCAAAATCTCATTCATTTCATTCTATGCCTGTTTTTGAAACACCACCTTAAGACCTTTCCTGCCCATAAGGTGTTTTCAGAGTTACAACTGTGGCCATGTATTAGTTCAGATCCTGGTTGGTACTTTTTTTTTTTTAATTTTAATTTGTGGAGAAGTCTTATTATTTATTTAAATAATTTCTTTAATTATATTCCATTTTCTGTTTGTCTTAGTACTATCCCACTAAGAACTAAAAAAAAAAAAAAAAAAAAAAAAAAAAAAAAAAAAAATTGTTTGATATCACACCGTTTACTGAACTTTCCAGAGGACCATGATAAACAACAGCATTCTGAGCCACTAAAACCTGGTATCTATTCCTACCAGTATTCATAGCAAGCTTGCTGAAATATGTTTTAAGATTATTGACCTGGAAAAAAAAACTGTTATTTCTCACCTGACCAAACTAATTTTGAGAAGACAGGTTTCTCAAGAAGGCATCTTCCCATTGGGCACAACCAGAATGGAACTAATACAAGGAAAAACATGAGACTTCCTTGAGAATATCTTTCTTTGTATGACTTATGGAAGTCCTGAAGTATTTTATCACAGTTATGCTAAGTTAGCTGATTTGTTTTAAGGTTCTTTAAAAAGCTTAAGTATGAAAAGGGAAATGAGATTCATCATCTTCTCAGAGTTCTCAATCTATGGGTATATTAAAGGAAAAATATTTAATGCAAGTAGCCTATCACTTAGTTATGCTAACTGCTTTCTTGGGAAGTTCTGTTCTCATTTTCTGTGGTATCTTTTTATATCGCCACACATTCTGCTAGCTTTCCATATGCTTTTTAAAAATTGTTTTAAAAGAACGAGACAGCTATGTGCTGTACTAACACATCAGTGCTAATCTCTTAGTCAAACATTATCTGTTACATGAGCCTGTCACCACTGAGTGTTCGTTTGTGTATGGGAGCTGTTCTGTATGAGTATTTTAGTTAGGATGGCTTAATCTTACTACACTAATTTAAAAAGGAAAAAAAAAAAGTTACATGTACAGTCATACAAAGCCTGTGTTTTGAAGGTGCTTGACTGTGTCAAGAAAAATGGGAAAATACACACTCTTATAGTCAATATCAGGCCTTTTAACATGATACGGGTATTTTACAGGAATTTTAATCTCCAATTATTTTGCTGTGGTCTGGGTGGAAAAATAATAAATTATTATGAATACAAGCATAAAATCATGATAATGAAAATAATGTCTTTACTTTTAGTTGCAAAACTTTAAAGATCAGTGTTTTAGATCCACAACTGAATACTACAGCTAAAATTCTGAATCTGTTCAAATCATTGAACATTTTGACATTGACCATACAGCAAATATTTGACTGGTATAATTTATATGATATCAATGGGAGGAGGTAGAAAGAAGTGTCAGTAAGGTGTGGCAATGTTTTTCTTTGTTTCCAAGATTATTGTATGGTGTCAGACATATTCTTATTATATCTCCCAGAATAAATTATAATAATTTTAAAAGTTTGGGAATAGATGGAGTCCAGAATAACATATGTAATTTATAGGCTTTAATTTTCAAGGACATCTGGGCTTTTATAAAGATTCTGTAAAAGGATGCTGGCTCATCCTGACAGATATCAACTTTCTTTCTCCAAGCAGTCATCTTCTCTACTTGCAGAGCTCTTACCTTAAATAAGAACGAACATGTATGCTGAAGAACAATTTTCTAACAGCAAGATTCAATACCCTGTAAAGCTCCCTCTCAAGGGAGGTTGCAGGAGACCCGTTGCCTGAGTCATTTGAAACTAAACTGGACAAAATTCAAGTAATATACTGTAGGGAACATTTTTGGATGAATGAGGGCTGTACTAGTTGGTTTAACAAATCTTTCTTATTTCTAGCTTCTGTGATTTTGCAGCAACTTTAATGGGACACAAAATATGCAGAACTTCCAAAATGGCTGAGTACCAATCCTACATCTTTTCATCTGGAACCACATTATATAGGTCTTCCTTAATTATGTCAGAAAGTAGGGCTATGCACAGCAGATATGTTACAGGATTATGATACACAATAAAACCCTCTACCTCAAAGTGTCAGTACTATTGTCAAAAATTTTTGGATTGTGGTCTCTCTCAATTCTTCCACTAACAAAACTGCACAACTTAACTGTAAATTTTTACTATTACTATTACATCATTGTTGTTTCTTTTGTATTTTGTTGATTTGTTGTTTGCAGTTTTGTTTTCTCACAAATTACAAGGTAGTCAACGCACAGAATTATTGAATTAATGTGCAAAACAAAAACTTACAGTGTCATTTTTAGCTGATGCATACATTTCAAC